AATTTCACCAAATTTCAAATTTTTACCCCGCCTTAACCCTTAGCCTTACGTTACTACCAATAAAAAGACCCTTAGACTCTAGTGGGTTAGGTCAAAAGAACGGTGGAGGGAGATAGACTTCAAACCTATGGAAAGAGTATGCATAGTTGAGACGTCGAGACTACCTTCTCAAAGTTTTTCATTTCTTTATCTTTTTCCGGTTCCTTCGTGGAATCTTGAGAATCTAGATTAAGGGTTGATTTGAAGCTAGTGGAGAGAACGTGACCCGATTGGTTGGGGCTAGGGTGGATTGAGTCCTAAGTAGTTCTCTATGCTTAGCATGTGCTATGTTTCAATCAACCATTAACATCTTGGAACGTGCATACATATGTCCATTTAGAAAGGTTTGCATTCATTAGTACGTGTCCCTATCTTTTGTCCATACATGAGTTTGTGTTTTACCTCCTTTCTTGTTTATTTTTGTTTTCCTTTTTGTTGCCTTGCCTTGGTTATTTTTATTATTGAGAGTTGTGGGTTAAGCTCTTAGGAAACCCTCGCGAGAGCTCACTCGCCCTCTTTGGCGACATGGGGGTTTAAAGGGCTTGATGCATACGCTAAATGCATCCTTGATTCCTACGGCAGTGAGTTAGTGTACATTCTTTCTCTTTGTTTCTATTTTGTTTCTTTTGCTTTCAATAAGTCCATCTTGTTCTCTTTTGCCTTAGCTTTGCTCGAGGACGAGCAAAGGTTTAGCTTGGGGGAATTTGATGAGTGACATTTATGTCACTCTTAGGGAGTAGTTTTAGAGTTAATTCCGTGTTTATTTTCCCTTTTATTCTCTTGTTTTCTTTTTAATAAAGTTTCTAGTTTATTTCTTAGTTTTAGTATGTTTTAATTTAATTTCTTTATTTAATTGTTTCTATTTTATTTTCGTATTTTATGTGCTTTCGATTTATTTTATTTCTTTCCTTTTCTTTGTTACTTTCATAGTTTTAATTAGCTTTATGTTTATTTTGTTATTTTATTTTATTTTATTTGCTTGTATAGTTTTATTTAATTTTGCTAGTTTTAGTTTATTCCTCTTATTTTCTATTTTATTTTATTCATTTCCATTTTATTTATTTTATTTTATTTACCCCAATTCCTTCCTTCGGTTTTGTGTGTAGGGGTTCGGGTTTTATGTCAAGTGAATTCGGGTCCCAATTTGAGTCAAACGCCAAATGCACAAGCTTCCAAGCAACAACCCCTGCTGCCAGCTTATCATACACCACACCCTTCACTATCCTACACCACCCCAAACAACACACACCAACATCACAACACTTACCCTACTCACGCAAACCACCAGCTAATTCCCCTGCTCCAATTCACCTTCAGCCACCCAAACCAAACCATAGCAACCACAGCAGCCACGCACCTGAACCACCATCACCCACCAATTCCACTCACCCTCACAAACACCACCCACATCTTCGCGTAACCACCATCCCACACTAATCAGCCACCTGTCGCTCACCCTTCGCCAATCCCCAACCTTTCCCCTAACTCACTCAACTCAACTCAGCGCAACCGCAACACCACCGTACCACACACAATAGCCCACCAAAGCCAATCAACAGCCCCTGCACCACCGTCCACCAAAACCCACACCAATTAACCACCTGCACCACCGCTGCTTCCTTCCCCGCACCTCACCAAACCACGACTCCAACCACTGCTGCAGCCACTCAATTTCAGCCACCCAAACCGCACCTCTTCCCTGCAATTCCCGGCCACCGCAAACCCAAATCAACCCCATCAATTCGCACAAGCATTAGCCTAAATCAAAGCAAATTCAATTAATCAATTCGGGCAAACTGCATAGGAGTTCGATCGAAATGCCAAGAAGTGCCAAAACAGTCAGAAAACTTTTGAAGTTTTGTAAATTGAAGAGGTGTGATCGAACACGCCCATGGTTCGACCGAACCAACCCTGTAGTTCGGCCACATCAACCCATGGTTCGACCGAACCATTTCACGAGCTATGCACGTGATAATTATTGAGATCAAACAATTGAAGCTTGGTGATTGCCGTTGATCTTCGATTCGTGATGATGATGTGCGTTGATGATGGTGTGATGCAGTGGTGATGAAGAATGGAGCAGCCAAAATCGAATAGAAGAAGAATAGGAAGGCTGATGTGTTTTGGGGGATTTTGGGTTATTTTTTTCCTTTTTCTTTAATTTTTATTTCTTTTCCTTTACCTTTTCTTATTTCTTTTCCCTTTTATTTTCTTTTCTTTTATTTTCCTTTTCTTTTATTTTATTAAGTTAGTATAAACACCCATTTTCGGGGGTAATTAGAATTAACAAGGAACAATATATTCAATTAACAATTATTCTATTCTCTAATTAGTTTTAGGAGAGCTTCTCTCTCTAGGTTTAGGTTAAGATTAGAGTTGTTTAGAGAGAGAAAGTGAGAGTTTCACCTAGGGATGTCAGTGGGGCGGGTCAAGTAGGAGACCCGCCCCATCCCCGCCCCAATGGGGCGAGGATGGGTCTCGGTTTTGCGGGTGGTGGGGCGGGGATGGGGATTAAAACCATACCTGCCATGGGTGATGGGGCGGGGTGGATTTTTAAGTTGTACCCGCCCCGCCCCACCCGCCCCCACTTCGTACCCGCCTCATCCCCACCTCATACCCACATCTACATATCTTTTAAAGCAAAATTATATACTTTTATTCTATTTATAAAATAATTACATGAAATACAATATTAATGATAATAATTTGTACGACACTTATATTATAACAAAAAATTGTGTATAGAATGTTTTATTTTATAATTCGTATTAATTATGTAAGATTGTGTATTTGAGATACGGATATTAAGTGGATCTTGGGTGGGGATTAGGCGGGTCTTTGGTGGGGATTAGGTGGGGATGGATATCCAAGTGGGGTTGGGGCGGGGATGGTTTTGGAGTTGTACCCGGTGGGGCAGGGATGGGGATGAAAATTGGACCCGCCGCGAGGATGGGGATGGGGATGGGGATGAAAATATTAGGTAGGGATGGGGATGGGAAGGCCAACATCCGCCCCGCCCCATTGACATCCCTAGTTTCACCATTGTTGAGTTTGGATTTTGAAGAAGAAGATTGATCATCTTGTTTTAGACTTTCATCTTCAATCAATGAGAATCTCTAACTCTCTCTCCTCTATTTTATTTGCTTTCTTTTGATTATTATTTTTGTTGTTGGTATTGCTTATTAATCTTGTTTATTCTTGATTATTTATTAATTAATCTTTTTATTAGCATGATTAGTGAGTAATTCCTCCATTAAGGGGATGGTTGTGGTGTAGTTGGATCTTGAGCATGTTCTAGGGTTTAGAATTGATTTATTTGTGATTAAAGTCTTTATATGCTTGATATTCTTTAATCTTCTTGCAAGTGCACATTGTTGGTTGATTAACGGTGAATCTTTGCTAACAAGGAACGGAAGTTGACTTAGTTAAGGTTCATTACTATCGATTGTTCTTTGATTGCACCTCCCAATATATGGTTCTAGTGTGGAAACATAGAGGCTATGTTAGGAGAAGCTAATTGACCTCGGAAGACGACTAGATTGGATCTTTTACTTCGATATTCAAGCATGTTTAGTTCATAATGAATTCAATTTCTATGGCTTTGTTTATGTTCAAGTTAATGCTATACCTAAACCATTTCTCTTAGTGTTTTATTTCTTGTTTTAGCATTCTTATTTAATTAAGTAATTTTAAAAGTGAGTATTTTAACTTGTTTCTAATTTTAAGAGACCGAAAATTTATTTATTTTTATAAGGTCCGATTTTATTTTTTTTATTTTTTTAATTTTTGGAAATCCAAAATCAAAATAAAAAAAAAAAAAATTACCTTTGGTTGATCTTGAAGAAAAATTTTAAAGTAAAAATCAAAGGTTGTTCTATCTCTTTCTAGCTCTAGCTCGAATTTTCTCGATCTCTCCTAAGTGCAGCTCAAATTTGGAACATGTATATAGAGTAGATCGACATGACTGAATTCGGTTTGCAATTGTATTGTACAGTGAAAAATTTCGGTCGATATGATTGAATTTTTGGGTGTATGAACCATAGATCTTGATTCTTCAATAAATTTGGGGGAAAAGATAGTAGAGAGATGATAAAGATCAGATTTGAAGTTGATGATAAGAAAATCTCCATAGCATGTGATTGTCAAGCATTCTTTTTTAATAAAGGTGATTTTGGAGGGGGTAATTAGATGTTGTTAATTGATTATAATCATGGCTAAAACCATTTAAATGGGTTGATAATGTAGTACAAGGGTAAATTGGTAACTTTATATGAAAAAAGTTGTCCAAAAAAGAAATGGTGCAATAAATATGAAACTTCCTAAAATGGTAAGTGGTGTAATAAAAAAATAACAGGAAAGTATAAATTTGGATTAATAAATCATAAATTAATTCTAACTAAGATGGTAATAAACGTGGTTTCTATTTAGTGTACAAATTTTTAAATAGAACTGGTCCGCACTAATTTGTTGTGAACCACTATTATTAGAGAAACTATAGTTTTTTTTTTATTAATATAAAAAAGGTTTCTATAATAATAAAAAAAAGTTCACTATGTTGAAATAAAAGTCATTTTGGTAATATATAGACTATAAGAGGTTAATCTTTTTGATGAAATATTCAATATGAATAATACAGGTCACTATTTAAATTAGGGTCATAACGTCGTATTTTAAATTCACAATAACATTAAACGTTATACAAGTTTTAATAAAGGTTACTATGTTGAAATAAGATTACTATGTTCAAAATAAAGGTCACTATGTCCAAAATAATGTCACTTACGTGTGTACAAACCTCATGTCCACAATAATATTATTGACTTATTGTGAATCAGGTCCACCGCAAGTCTTTATGCTATTTAGTGAGATTTGGGATTCAAATCTTCCGAATTAAAACTATCTAACTTGCTAATCTAGGCCGGTTCAACCCGTAAATGGTTCGAGCCCAATTTCCAAAAATAAGAGTTAGTTGACTCTGGATCTCATCTTAAAAATAAGAACAAGAGCCAGCCTCAAAGTCGAAGAAGAAGATACACAGAGCAGAAAGAGAGAGCAAGCAAAAATGGCGTGGAGTGCGACTGCGATCGGAGCTCTTCTTGGATTAGGCACCCAAATGTATTCAAATGCTCTTCGCAAACTCCCTTACATGCGTCGTAAGTCTCTCTCCATCTTCATATCTATTCAATTTCATAATTTCAAAACCCTAATTTTACCAATTTGGGTATTTTAGATCCTTGGGAACATGTTTTGGGAATGGGCTTAGGAGCTGTCTTTGTAAATCAGCTTGTCAAATGGGATGCTAAGCTTCAAGTGGACCTTGATAAAATGCTTGAAAAATCCAAAGCCGCCAATGAGCGACGCTATATTGGTCAGTATTTTTATTATGTTTTTTTTTCAATTTTTGATCGATTTCTCATTTGGATGATGATGTATAACCTAATTTTGGTCATTGGTTTGAAGCAGTAATTAAATACCCCAATTAAGTTTTTGTAGTTGTTATATCTTCTGCACATATTTTGGGTTATTATGATCCTGAGTTGTTTTTGTGTTAGGTTGTTTTTTGGTTTATAGTGTTTAATTGCTCAAAAAATTTGGGTTCTTTGTTGTTTTTTCCTGTGCTAATGATTTATAACAAGAAATTTGTTGATTATTGATTATATCTTGCCTGTCTTAAGTTTTAAGTTTGTAGTTATTTTGCTTTCTTGTAGTGTTTCAAATGTCTGTGAAGCGTGTAAAGGACAAAAGCACAGCTGATTTAATTGTGTGATTGTTTTCAATTGGACTTTCGAGTGGGTCTGGTTGATTGTCCAACAACTTAGTTGATTTATTTATCTAGTGCTATCAAATGTCTGTCCAGAAAGATGAACAACAGTTGACTTTATTACAGCTTTTAATTTATTTTCGGCTCTGTGTAATGTGTATGTGTGTTGATTGTCAAATGGTTAAGACATTGTGATATGGGGCTGGATGAGTATTGCAGAATTTTTTAGAGCCATAAGAATTATAGAGTAAAGAATGATGAAGACAATTGGCTAGTGCTGCAGGGTGATTAGACTGATTACCAATGCATAGTTGCATACACTTTATCTAACGTTCAAACATTACATATTTTTCACCTTTGAAGATGTTCTTATTATTGGGGTTTTGAGTTTTTTGGGATAATTAGTGAAAAGACAAACAAACGAAAAAAATCTTGATCTCAACTTTTAATTAAATTAATTATGCAATTCCACACTAAGTTTGAGTTGAAATTGAATAATTTAAAATTGTAGCTCACAATAATGCAGATAGGAGAGATGATTCTCCCTGTTTTATAGGGTGGCTTAAGTTCTTAATTTACCTTAATGTCCCTAAGTAACTACTGATAATTCCTAAAAAAATAAAAAAAAAAAAAAAAAGTAACTACTGATAATAGCCCTTGGGTTACAATTTCATAGTAAGATTAACCTGTTAAAAACTGAAAGAAAAAGCCGAAAATTCCCTATCAGACTTGTTGTGAACGGGGTAATGGATCCTTGTATGGGTCGAATCATTCGCCAAAACTGCAGATTCACAAATGGGGAAAATCCCCTGGCTATTGATGGAAAATCCAATGGGCTGATAACCCTAAAATCCTCCACTAAGGTCTTGTTTAGCAAAAGTAGCGGTAGCGGGTAACTTATAGCCGTCATGTAGCAGGTAGCTATTAAGTTAGCGAGTAGCGGTCAATTAGTAGTGGGTAGAGGTTAGCTCTCAAAGTAACGGTTGATAGTATGAGTGTTTGGCAAAAGTAGTGGTTGCAATACCAAAATATATCAAAATTCATGTAACTATTGATTTAAAAGTAATAAAAATTTGACAAACGCTACCCGCTACTTCTAAATGCTACTATTTTTAACGTTTGAGAAAAGTTACCTAAACGCTACTTCTATCGTTTACCGCTACTAGAATCATTACCTTGCCAAACACTCTTAAATTTTTTCTAGTAGTGTTTTGACTAGTCAAAAAGCTACCTGCTACCTCAAACGCTACCACCAAAAACCACCACGGAGCTCACCATGATGCCTGGCATATTTGTAATGTCTACTTCAACCAAGTCTAATGCTCCCATCAGTTTATCCCTCTCCCAAATTTCCCATATTATTTTGACTATTTGCACTAATTAGTATTTACACACCCTATTTACGACTCTTAGTTTGTTGCTAATATCTACAAACAAATGTTACCATGTAAGATGTCGGGTTTATCATGTATATTGTCAAAATATTAGCTTTTATGATTTTTACTAACTGATACTAAAAGATATTGATAATGAAAAATGTGAATTGGTAAGCATTGTTGACAGAGGGAGTACTTCATTATGCTATTGTGCATGTCTCCTTAGGCTCAAATTTGCCTTTTTTCCAAGAGTGCTGCAAATTTTTTGCTATCTATTGATGACCCTCTGTGTTGATGTCCACTTCCAAGTCTTTAATTTAGACAGCATAAGGTTAAATTCAGAGTAGTTATGTTGCTATCTTTTAGGAGGTTAACTAAAAGGTAGATTGATATTGCTTTAAGATTTTACTCAACAATGTTGGCTGGGTCTACTTCATCATCTAGATTGCTTCTTTCTGCCTGCTATTCTAGGTTTCCTTTTGCTGCCTGATAGTGTCTGTAAAATATCTTTCTCTTCATTCATGTTCTTGGGGAGTATGTGTCCTCGTTAAAAATTTCCAATGGGAAGAGTAATCTTTTCGATATACTCTTCGACTATTTTGATACAAAGCTTGCTCTTTCGTTAAATGTTTTCCTTTTCTTTGATATTACGCTAACTCTTTCATTGATTTAAAGGTGTGTTTTATTCACCTGATTTTACTTATCTAAATATATCTTTATCTTATATTTTTGAACTTATCAAAACCTATTAGACCTTATCAGACTTATTTTAGTTGTATACTATAGATGGGTAACCCTTATTAACCCTTATTATTACTTGAATTATTTTTTATGAATTTACGACAATTAGGTGAACTAGGCCTAAGGTCTACTTGTGCTTGCTTGGATTTGAAAATTATTTGAAGAAAAATGTTGTTCGTTGTCTAATTTTTTTGTATACGATGTTTTGGTTTCCTATAAGAAATGTTACATTTTTCCACAATTCTCTGAGTATTTGTTTCTGTCAAGTGCAGAAGAAATATTTACTGCTGAACCTTTGATGACTTTGGTTTTTTTTTTTTTTAATTTTTTTTTTATTTGCCTTATTGGTGGCTGTATGATTCATTGCTGCTAACAAAAGGGCTGAATTGATCTAGGCATCTAGCCCGATCAAGGGGCAGATGAGTTGTGGGGAAGGAATGTAGAATCATAGAAGGCATGAGGCCCATGGTACGTTACAACCACTAGCATCTTTTCTAAACTGTACAGGAAAATTTACCAGCTTTTTTTGAAGATAGAATGTCCATCCTTCGGTTGAAAAAGAATATAGCGATTAAATCAGATGCAAAATATTCATTAGTGGCTTAGTGCTATGTTTTACTCCTGTATTTAGTACTAAATGGAAAGTGGGGTGGTTACAGGTAACTTCAGCTGTGTTTCTTTAGTATTGGGGTTGCTTTTATCTCCTTTTCAACTTTTATAAATTTTCTGCTGTATATAGATACAAGCCTCTTCTTCCACATAGATGAGTATGTTCTCAATCTTCTCATAAAGTACTTTATCATGGGAACTCTGAGTTTATCATGTGTATTAGTAGACTCAAAATATTAAGTGTTGACTTTTGCATCTCTGCTACTCTTGCTTCTCTAATATGCCCATAGGTCAGTGCTAGACTGCTAGCATATTATTTAGATTGAAAATTACAAGTTTACACTGCCCGTTGAGAAAGATAGAATATTGGATGGCTTGTTGGGGGGGGGGGGGTGGCGGGTTATCAATGACTGTTCTGTAGGCAGATGCTCTTTTGTTGAACTTTGATGGTTTTAAATTTTACCCATAACCTGAATTTGTCTTTACTGATGTGATCTTCAAAATGTTTCTTTTTCAATAAAGAGCTTCTATGCTTGAAATCTATGTTACATGGACTTGGGAACAGGTGTCAGATACGGACACGTGTCCGATCCGGTAAGTTCCAAAATTTTAGGACATGGGGACTCTATCCGATATGGACACAGGTACGGGGACACGTCAGTACATCACTTAAATCTATATAAATAAATTTTATATTACAAAAGCTTTAAATTTTTCATTTTGTCTACCCCTTTTTTTTTTAACCTAATAAATGACAATCTTCTTATCTCCATCTTCTCTATATTAATGGTGGTTTTCGAACAAGATATTTTTCGAACAAGGTAACATAAGATATGTGGTAGTGGAAATGTTGTAACTATTTGAGATGCTGGTAGGGAAAGTAATAACTTGGGGTCTTTGAGATGCAAAATTAAGTAGATGTTTTTAAGAGTTTGAGTGAGGCTTTACAGTAGTAAAGGTATAAGTTATTAGTTAATAGCTTTATGAACTTACATTGCATTGGCGGGGTTACCTTTTATGCAGATTTTTATATTTTTTAGGCCCTGGTGTTTAGTGTTCACTTTATTTTCACTTAGTTTATAGGTGATAAAATAAGCTCAGGATATATATATATATATATATATATATATATATATATATATATATATATATATATATATATATATATATATATATATATATATATATATATATATATATATATATACTTCCTCCGTTTTTTTTAATATTGCACCACTTGCCTTATAAGGAAGTTTCACAAATATTGCACCATATCCATTTTAGGAAAAGAATTATTTGTGTTCACACTATAAATACCCAATATACCCTTGCTTTTCAACACTTACATTTTATTTTGTGTATACTATCACATGGGCAACTTTGTATTTCTACCTTTCTCTCTCATCCTTTTTTCCACTATCAAAAAATTTGTGCCAATCTCTTATGGTGTAATAATAAAAGATCGGAGGAAGTATAAGGTTTTGATAAGGGTTGTAACTATTACCCAATTTTAAATTACTACTAAAATAAGTTTTAATGAAGTCTAATAAGTTTGAATAAGATAATACGATGTGTTCAAAAAAGTGAAAATCAAGTGAATAGAACACACCTTTAGATGATTTTATTTTTATTTTTATTTTTTTAATTTTTTATTAGGCTAAGTGAAACAGCTTAGATGAAAATCATGAAATGTTGAAGAGTTTTTTGGACTAACTTATTTAGCAAAAGGGTTAAACTGGGAAAGTTGAGACAATTTTTAAAGATGCCATGATGATCAAGGGTTGCGGTACTTCCTAATATAATTCATGGAGCAGCAGTAAGGTACATCTTGGCCTGCATAGAGGTGATTAAGCCTTCCATGTTAGGTAGTCTTTTTCTGCTTTGTGATAGGCACCCCCTCCCCCTGGTGAGATTAATAGATGCCATGATGATCAAGGGTTGCGATACTGGTGAGGAGGTAATGTCTTTTCCTGTCAACCAGTCAAATGGGTCTCTAATCAATATATTAATAGATTTCTGTTTTATTTCTTGTTTCTTAAAAAATAACTTGCTGCATATGATAGTTTGAACTCTTGTAGTGCGTCACAAACTGCTTACCCTGGTTTGAGATTCAGTAAAGTATTTCTGTAAATGGAAATATTCTCTAGTGTAATTATCAAGGAAAATCTGGTTTCCCTCCCGTATTTTGGTCTAAAAGGAAAAATTAAATGATTGTGTAGGCAAGTCATTTCACCTGTTTGTTTTCTTCCCTTGCAGATGAAGATGAATAGCTCCTTTATGCGGATACAATAGATGTTGAATTGGTTGGAAGCTTAACCGGTTGCGACATACGACTAGTTTGAATCAAGTACAATTTTTGGTTTGAATTATGAGTTTGTTTAGAATCTCATCGTTTTTGAATCATATTCTAATGTTTGTATCTATTGGAGGATTTCCAATTGCGCCATTCTGTGTGGCTGTTACAAATAATGAAGGCATCTTTGGTTGTAGCTGCTGCCAAATTTGGATAGAAACTGAAATTCAAATTTGTTGGTGTAAAAATAAGAATGTCAGTGCTCCAAATCCTAAATTCTTAAAATTTACACTCTTTAAACAGACTTCCCGGATAAATTTCTACCCTTTAATTTCCTCAAAAATGGCCATAGCCTATCTTCTTTGGCAAAGGATATTTCCCGTTTATCCACCAGGACATTAGTCTTATAGTTCCTCCATTCCAAATTAGTTGATATGTTTCTTTTATCACGTTTGTAAATGCATAAATTAAATTGAAAATATTTTTTAATTCACAAATGTTAGTCAAATAAGAGTTTATGAATAATGATAAAGTCATGACATGTGAGCCAACCGTAGAGGAGATAAGACAAGCGCTTTTTTAGATGCACCCACATAAGGCTCCGGGTCCCGATGGTATGCATGTTTTATTTTTTCAGAAATTTTGGCATATTGTTGGTTTTGATATTATTACTTATGTCCAAAATTGGTGGAAGGGGGAAATTGATCTTGCGGAAATAAATAATACTTGCATTGTGCTAATTCCGAAATGTGACAAACCTACTCTGATTTCGGAATTTCGACCAATAAGCTGTTGCAATGTTATTTATAAAATTGTAAGTACTGGCAAATAAATTAAATTTTTTTTTGAGGAAAATCATCTCTCCAAATCAGAGTGCTTTTGTCCCGCAGAGACTTAGTACGGATAATGTCATTGTTGCTTTCGAAATTTTTCATTGTATGAAGAGAGGTGGAGAAGGGAAGGATGGTAATATTGCACTGAAATTGAATATGAGTAAGGCATATGATCGTGGAGTGGGTGTTTCTTGAACAGGTGATGATCAGAATGAGTTTCTCTACTAACTGGATTCATCGTGTTATGAGTTGTTTGCAGAGTGTGTCTTTTGCTTTTAAAATAAATGGACATATTTCTGGTTCTGTGGTGCCTTCGAGGGGTTTGCGTCAGGATGATCCTATATCTCTGTACCTATTTCTATTGTGTGCGGATGCCTTTTCGACTCTTATTTCTAAGGCGGCCAATGGTAATCTTATACATGGTGCTCGTATATGAAGAAACGCCCCAAGGATATCTCATCTCTTTTTCGCAGACGACAGTATACTTTTTGCTAGAGCAAATGTGCAATCGAATGCTCGGTTATAGCTGATAGTATCGGCAAATATGAGAGAGCTTCTCGTCAGAATGTCAATCTAAGCAAAACAGAAGTTGTTTTTAGTAAAAAAAAGTATGTCCGGAGAAGAGAAAAGAGATTATTGAGATTTTGGGGGTTCGGGAAGTTACTCGACATGAGAAGTATCTTGGTTTGCCGACTATAATTGGAAGATCGAAAAAAGCTATTTTTGCAAGTTTGAAAGAGAGAATTTGGAAAAGCTTCAAGGGTGGAAGGAGAAGCTCCTATCTAGGCCGGGAAAAGAGGTTCTAATCAAAGCCGTGGCTCAAGCAATCCCGACTTACATGATGAGTATTTTTTAAAACTTCCGGATGGACTTATTGATGGAATACATTCTTTGCTTGCTAGGTTTTGGTGGGGGTCCTCGGATACTGCAAGTAAGATGCATTGGCAAAGATGGGAATTATTATGTCGTCCCAAGGCTCTTGGTGGGATGGGCTTTCGTGATCTACAATGCTTTAACCAAGCTCTTCTTGGAAAGCAAATGTGGAGATTACACCATAACCCAGGTACTCTTATACACTCAATCTTGACATGAAAGCAAAATATTTTAAGAAGTGTGATGTGCTAGAGGCTAGTCAAGGTTATGACCCAAGTTATGCTTGGAGGAGTATGTGGGGTGCAAGGGTTTAGCTTTTTGAAGGGCTTAAGTGGCGGGTTGGGAAAGGATGTTCTATTAATGTTTGGAGTGATGCTTGGTTACCGGGAAATTCCTCTATCATTGTTCCATCCCCAAATCCGACTAGTAATTTGGAGATGAAAGTGTGCGATTTAATTGATCACTCGTGTGGTGTGTGGGATAGTAATGTGTTGAGCAGCAATTTTTGTGAGGTAGATATTACAAAGATTGTTGCTATTCCATTGTCTCCGAATTGCCCCCCCTGATAGAATGTATTGGTGGCCGTCCAAGGATGGTGCTTATAGTGTGAAATCGGGTTATTGGTTATGCAAACGTGAGCCAAATCTTGCTCAAGGGCTGAATATGACAGAAATATGGCGCGTTGTTTGGTCTTTAGAATGCCCACCTAAGTTGAAGCACTTCTTATGGAGAGCTTGCAAAGGGTTCTTGTCTGTGAAAGAGCGACTGCTGTATCGTCACATTACAACTGATGCTTCTTGCTCCATATGCCACGCACACGAAGAAACCGTATGTCATGCCATGTTCAAGTGTTCTACTGCTAAGGAAATATGGGAAGCAAGTTCCTTTCATAATTTACTCAATGCTGCCCCAAGTAGTAATTTCAGTGAGAGGTTACTATGGTTATCAAAAAATGCTCCTAAACCTGATTTTATTACGATGACAGCCCTTAAGTGGGCAGCGTGGCACTGCAAGAATACTACCATCTATGAAGGAAAATCTGTCATTGCAGTGGAGATAGCTAGGGGATGGGTGAATTACGTTAGGGAAAGCAATGAGTATGTTGCCAAGGTGATTAACAGGGCTGCTCATGTAAGTGGGGGATCAACTTCTTCGTGGCAATGCCCTGCTGCAGGGGTGACCAAGATTAACTGTGACGCACACATTGGTGCTGTCACTGGTTTGGGGGTGGTAATGAGGGACGAGCTTGGCTCTCTGGTGGCTGCAGCAGTTAGGGAAGAGAAGGCTGGCTGGGGTGTTGAAGAGGCAGAGGCTGCTGCTTGCAAGTTCGTGCTGCTTGTGGCGAGAAGACTTGGTTATTCCAAGGTCCATCTAGAATGTGACGCTGAAAATGTGGTCCGTGCAATTAAGTCGAAGGCTATGGGTTTTTCTTCTGTTTATTTGATATATGATGATATTAGTAGATTGTTTTCTTGTTTTGATGTTGTTTATTTGTCTCATATCAAGCGTGCGGGTATTTCTCTAGCACACAACGTAGCTCGTTGGGACGCTAGAGGTTGTAATGAATTTGTTTCTTTAGTCCCTTTCCGCAGAGCCTGATTACTCTGACGGAAATTGACCTTCTTTAATGATATGGTCGCAGCTTGTTTTCAAAAAAATTAAAATAAAATAAAATAAAAATAAAGTCATAACATGTCGATTAATTTGAATTAAAGAGAATAAAACCTTAGGAGTGAATTTTCCAATTTTAAACCATTCTTATACATCTTTCATTTCTTTTTAGTTGTATCACTTTCTTAAAACATAAATTTTAAATTAGTTAGATCAATTTCCTTATTTTACTTAATAAAACTCTCTTTATCTCTCTCTTATTACATGGGTTCAAATTTTTTTTTCCTTCTCTGTATCTCTCTCATTTCCAAAAATTGCCTAGGATATTAAGTGATGTAATTTTAAAAGAATTGGATTCTCAATCTTACTCTACCATTAATATAAAACTCAAGCTTGGAAGAACAATGAGTTATCTTTTTCGTCCTCAAATTGAGCTTGAAGTCACAACTTAGGGTATTGAAACACCTAACAATATCCTATATGATTAATACTTCGTATATATTATGCTTTAGCACAAGAACTAGTTTGTGGCTCGAGCGATACCTCAAGTATGGAAATTACATTGATTTAAATAACATTTTGAAAATATTACCTAAAGTTTTAAAAAAATATTTTGAAAATATTACCTCAAGTTCAAAATAACTTAAAAAATAGAATTAAAAAATATAAGTGACTCAAAAGGGCAATGTAGTTGTACTGTTGTTCACCTATAAATATTACTATGTATAATTGCTTAACTGGTAAAAATATCATCTAAGGAAACAATCATTAGTATGTGAATGATTTCTTACAAATTAAATTATAGTTTATGCAATTATTTAAAGGTTACATTTTATTGAAAAATTTAATATGAAAGTTACAAATATGAAGAGTTTTGAGTGATAGATACATAGGATAATATGTAATGATGATGAGGAGTCAAATCACATTAAGAGTACTGTGACACAAGGCGACAACATATTGTCTCTTTGTATTTTAATAATATTATAGATTATAGTTATTCTACTACTATTAATAGAAAACATGATCTCAAAGGCTCAACATGCTTTTTTAAATGGGAGAAAGATGACAGATAATCTTATTCTCAACCATGAAGTGTTAAAAATAAAAGGAAGCAAGACATGTAATTTTTGGCAGGCTCAAAAATTAATATGAGCAAGGCTAATAATAGAGTTAATTGGGATTTCCTTATGTAAGTTTGTGTAAATATCTCTCTTTCTGTGTGTATATATATATATATATATATATATATATATATATATATATATATATATATATATATATATATATATATATATATATATATATATATATATATAACCTCCGCTTCACATTACTCGCAACAAATATTTGTCTTTTCTTATTTCATAAGTTTTTTGCTACGAAATCACAATTTACCCTTACTATTTTTTTAAAAACATCCTAATCAAATTATAGATATGTTTTTATTACATTAATCCCTAAGATTAATTAATTTCACCCTACCACCACATTCATCTTATTCATTCCCCTCCTCCTCCTACATTCAACATCTTCCTTCATAAGTTTTCTCTCTCTTCCTTCATAATCCACTACCTTCAATGGCAAACATCACCTTCAACAGAAACCACTACCATCATCACCGCCACTAACACCGACCACCACCATCTTCAATGGCAACTACGACTGACATCACCGCCTTGTTTTCTCTCTCTTCCTTTGCCTTTTGTTTCCTCATTGGCGTTTAAACCCAAAATCAAAGGTTTATTGTCAAATTTAACCATCAAAACTCTAGATCTAGATTTTTGAAGAGTTTTGATGGTTAAATTTGACCAATTAAAGCTTTAATTGATGATAGAGAAGGATTTATATATGGGTTCATCAAAGGTTTGTTTGTGGTTGATAGGTTCGTGGGTTCGTTGGTTTGGTTGAGGGTCTGGTTTTGGTTTCGCTTGTAGCTTTGGTTTTGGTTTCTGTTGTGGGTTTGATTGGGGTTTATGGGTT